TTTTGATGATCTCAACATCTATCGATATCTACTCCTCAAGAGCTATCGATTGGCGTTAAAGGTATCGCATGCAAATGTCTTTATGCAGAGATAACTTGCAAAAACACTTTCGCGTAATTTTTGAAAAATCTTCTTGGGCCTGTATCTCGGCTGTCCTTGATTTTGAGGGCCCAGGACCCTCCTCCCGGAACCATTCAGGCCGAGAGCTACAAAATGACATATCGCATGTGCAGAATGGAGCTATCTACGAATTTAGCCAGCCCTCCAAAATCTCGGCGACAGAACTTTCGTTCCAACCTGATAGAAAGAACACGGATGGGCCTTCTATTTCAGCGATCAATCGATTTTGCTCCTAAATGCCGTCTAGTCACATGTTGATGATTCATATCAGCGGTGCATCGCCATCATCACAGCACCCTCGGAAAAAATCCATTTTGCTCCCATTTTTTTGAACCGTTGTAACATTATTTTCAGCTTTTTCAACAGTTTTTTATGAAATTTGCCTTACAAATACACTGTCAAATAATTGTTAATCGTATTGTTAGGTCTGTGCCTCGACCTAGGCAATTTTTCCACTAAAATTTATCGCTTTCTCCAAGCGGCGATTTGCTTAATTCATCATGTCAATTTGGATAAAATTGTCGCGACACAAGGATTAGCCGGAAGCTTAAAAATTAATGGTGAGCGCGGGACTTTTTCGCGATACTCAATTTCAGATGAAGACTGGAACGACGTAAAGTGCAACATCAATTAATTCCTGTTGCATGAAATCGCACTTGACGAATGACACAAATTACGTAAGTTTTTGTTCGATAAGACGTAAAAATCTGATAAATTTAAATCCGGTTGGATTGTTTTACGTTTTTATTATTTTAAGAAAAAAACCCCCGAAGATCCAGAACAGCCCTGCGGAACCAAACCGAGCTAATCGGCGTCGAAAAACTATGGTAAAGCGCGTCTCGATTTTGTTAAAATTACACGTACACGATCAATGGAGTAATCAAGTAAGAATTATCAGATAAAGTGTAGGAAAACATTTACGTAAAAAGTATAAAATCTGACAGACAATTTTTACGAATAGTTTAAGAAAAAAACCCGAAGAGAGCCGCAGCGAGCCGACCAAGCCGTGCTACAGCTGAATGCAGTCTAAAATGTTTTAAAAGGAGTTCGGACCCTGCAAACTTTATCGTCACCAACATTTTCAGGAAAAGTGCTCGAAGGTGTCCCAAAAAGTAGATGAGATTGGATGATTTTCATCGACATGCTGATGCTTTGCAGCTACCGGTCAGTCATTAGTGAATCCCTTTATTTCCATCACTTTACAGCTTCTTTTCATGAAATTCCCGTTACAAAAGCACCGAGGAATGGTTTTTTCGATAATCATCTCGATTTGGTCGATTTTTCTCCAAAATTGATCGCTTTCCCGGAAAATGGTAGTTTATGTTTTCAGTTTACTCCGCGATAGACTAGCGGATACTGGACATACAGATTAAGCAGTAAATTGCAGTGAGCCTGCGAAATTAAACTCTGGTGAGCCGTGTCATTTTTCGGCATCCTGAATTTCAGAAGACGTCGAAGAAACCGTCGTCAGGCTTGTTGGATAAAACATAAAAAATATATATCTAAAACCCGGGTAGATAAAATTTTTACGAATCTTCGTACTTTCAGATAAAAAAGCCCAGAAGTATATGAGGTTGTGTTGTTTGGATTAAAAAACCGGGTGATTTTCCGCTGCCGGTCAGTGCAAAGTGAATCCCGATACGTCAATCAATTTGCAGTTTTTTTCTTTTGAAATTCCCATTACAAATACTTCGTTGAATAATTTTAATCGAAATTATCGGGCCACCCGCGATTCTAAAATTGAAAACCACTAGACTGAAAAATTAACTATCATTTAGCAATATGGTTTATGATTGTTTCAAATTTAGGAGGAGTCCCCCTTACACCAGGATGTTACTCCAATTAATTCACGCTTTGTCAACCTTGCCGATGATTTATTGAAGTAACGGCCTGCGGACGGGGCAAGGTTTGTTCAAAAATCAATTTCCTCAACGCTACAATAAACGTAAGAAAATGGACTGGCATCAACTATAAGAATTCAGTAGTGGTATCTGTCCGTCTGTCCTCCACAATACCGGGCAAAAAATATCTGAGATTTTATGGTTTTGATAATTGTCGGAAAATGACAAAAACAGGGCCAACCACTTTACCAAATCCGTAAGTGCTATCAGTCACTGTCATTATAATTCAGAAAAAGGGACAAACGAAAAAATAGAGTTCGAAGCGTAGATTTCAAAGTCAATGCAAAATGACCTGAATTGGCTCGATGGAAGGCAAGCACTCAATAATTTACAAGCGTTTAAATAATTCCAGGACCGGGAGTCAAAATCGCGAGCCCTCGTCGTTGTGTTGTGTCAGTAGAAAGTGATGATTTTATGGTTTCCGGCCCTGTCCTAGACCAGCCTGATGTCAATACTTCACTTGCAATAAAACGTAAGGCGTGGCGCATAAATAACACCAGATTTTCTGCTAGAACTCGAGCTCCTTGTGACGCTGAACCAACCATCCAAAAGCAGAGCCTCCCAGTATTTCACCAACAAATTGATCGAAAGTTGGATTCCCGCTAACTAATTATATTTCAGAAATTGCAAAGCTTTCAGAAAAAGACTTAATCTTTCAGAACAAAAAAAAATAGAGGAAAAAACGAGAGTTCAAACCGATGGTTTCAAAGTCAATGCAAAATAAAGCGAACTAGCTTCTTAACTGGTGAGAATTTGCTAATGCACAAAAATTACGCCAAGCCATATTTTAGAGAGTAGCCTCCTGTTCAATATCGCAAACCTAACGGCTTCTACCCTGATATCGTTATGAGGAAACAACGATTTGGTGGTTTCCGCGCCCAGAAAAAGACGCGGTGGAGGACAATACTTCACTTAGAATAAAACGTAAGGTGTGGGCAGAGATACCAGATTTCTTTTCTAGAATTCTAGCTCCTTTTCCCTGCACAATCATCAAAGTGGTCGCGGAAACGGCCAAGTTTTTATAGAAGGTATGATTGCCTATGTCTTGGCTTTCAAAAAAAATTTGCAGCGGGGTTTCAAGCTTATGGGAAAGATGATACGTGAAGCTCTGCTGAACTATCGAAAAAGACTGAAAATTGCTCTTCTCTGCCAATCAATTTGGCTTCCTCCGCTCAGGTCTAAAGAAATGATCGCTACAGTATATTTAAAACCACCTATCGGCCCAAGAAACAGTATTGTTCACCGATGTAGTTCGCGTCGACTTTGCCAAAGCCTTCGACACAGTACGGCACCCTAAACTCGTACGTAAACTCGCCAGAACATTCTAACTGAGCCAACGTTTAGTATCAATTTTACACGAAAATGGGACTGGATGATTCCCGGAAACGAAAAAGAGCCTGCATAGGATGTCTATCCTACCGCTAATACATTGTACCTTTTTCGCTGGGTCTCTATTAAAGATTTTAGTGGCAATTCTGAGCAACTATATGGGCTTCAAAAAAGAAAAAAGGTGTTGAAATCAGTTTGTTTAAGTGCTCATCAAAAAGGAAATGCTAATATGCTAAAAACTCTGGAAAAAAATTCCCGCACGAACTGAACGATATTAAATAAATTACAAACAAGTCGACGGACGAAAACGAGAACGTAGGTTATTTTGTAGTCAGTCTATTGCAAGAAATTCAGCCAAAATGATGGAGCGTTTGGACCACTTCCGGTGCAGCGGAAATCTCGGCAAAGATGAATTTGTTCGTGGCTGGCGGGTCATTGAATTCGATCTGATCCTAAGTTTCAGCACGAGTTTTCCTGAAAACGTGCCTTTTACGCCAACAACCTCCACCTAAACTACTTGGATGCCGGAATAATGCAGTATGTTTTTATGTTACGCATTGTAGCGATTTTAGAGTCCACGGGGGGCGATACTTCTCTTCGAAAAGAAAAATTTTAGACGATCTGCTTTCTTTAGCCCCTACTTCGACGGTACGCTTTTCAAGTAACATTTTTTGGGCAAGAGTTTACTTTACCCCCCCCTAGCCGGAAGGTTTCAAAAAATTTTTAAAGCTACCAATCGGTGGCCCTCGGTACCAGCTACTATCCCCTGGCCGGGAAATGCGAAAAAATAAATATTAAAATTTATACAATTAATTCTCTCTTTATCATTTAATTAAAATAGTGTCTGAGCGGTTATTCGAATTTTGCTTGTTTTTGTCATAACTATTTGATTTTACATTATTTTGGGTTGTAATTAAAACTCTTAGTATATTTTTTGACGCTCTATCGAGTGGCGTTAAAGAAATTTTGTAAAAATGTCGAAAAATAGCTTTGCACCTCCGGTTCCTATGGGGAAGTCGCGTTTAATTTTTGTTTTGGCTTTCACTATTTGATATTAAATTATTTTGGGCTGAAATTAAAACTCTTAGTATATTTTTTGATGCTCTATCCAATCGCGTCACGAAAATGTCGAAAAATAACGAAAGTATCGAAACTAGCTTTTTAACCCATTTTTAGAGGTTATTCTTATTTTTGCTGTAACCATTTTATATTACATTATTTTGGGCTGAAATTAAAACCCTTAGTATATTTTTTGACTCTATCGGATGGTGCCAAAAATCCTAAAAAAATAACGAAAATGTTGAAAACTTGGGGCGCTCGGGGGCTGGGGGGGGGTAAAGTAAACGGTAGGCGTTTTTGCAATGCTTCTAGGTTGGTGGCTCGTGTTTGTTGTCACTAAAGAGCGATGACTTTAAACAACTTTGTCAATTCAACGACAAGCCGCAAGAAGCCCGAATACCCTGCCCGAATTGATCTGCCGGGGCTTGAGCTCTGCTCACTTCCCAACTAATAACACATCGGTACAATTGCCGAAATTTTATCTACAGGCAAAAAGAAACACGTGAGTTGTTCTGTGCTTTGACTTTCAAAAAATTTCAGGAAAATGAGAACGTTACCTCGTTCCATACCATAATAATAGAATACCTCAATATGAATACCTACCAACTTTTCGGAGATCTGGACGATGTTTTTGCCATACAAAAAAAAACGTATGATTTTCTGGATTTGCCTTTTCAAAAAAATCTAAGGAAAGTATTACAATTATTTGGACTTCCGCCGTATTAAAAGGATCCCTAAATTCGAAAATGATGACAACCCCATCTTTCCAACCATGATTTTTATGGTCACGGGCTCCCAAATTGTTCAAATAGCGTAGAGCTGTTTTTAATGGGGGACCTTGGAAAATTTTAGTGCCATTTAGTGAACAGTTTGTTTGACGTGGACTCTTTTAGTGTTGGGTTAGAAAGTGTACTTTTTTTAGGGTGCGCATTGACACGGTGTACACAATGCAAGGTGTTGATGTAATACTGTTGGCCGAAGGTAAGTTCGTGCTCCGCTTAAAAGTTCTCAATCCAAAAGCTTATTCTTGAATTTTTAGCCCAAAATCTTTTTAGTAAGTTAAATTTATTTACTTTTAGTTTGAATTTATCCATTTTACGCTCACAATGGAACTTTTTTTGAGTGTTTTCGGAATGGGACCGGGCCTACCTTACGGGGAATTTTTTGCTGATCAAAACATAGTTTTCAGGAGCCACGAAACAACCACATTTTAAAAGTCATGAGGCTTTAGAGGGTGAAAAACGGCCCACTTTTATGGTTAATTAAGATTTATGCCAATTTTAGAACTAAAACCCGAACCCTGAAACCCTTCCTGATCCCTTTAAATAATAAATCATCCCACATTAAATTTAACATTTTGCAACTATTTCCGGCACTATATTATTCGCATAAATCAAGGATTTTCCGGCCCACCGTCCAGTGTGACAGCCAAGCTTGGAATGATGAAAACCGTCGAGAATTAGGTAGGTAATGTAAACATTTCGAGCAATCAAATAACAGGCAAATCATCAGCCGTCGTCCACCTGAAACTGACCGCAATAGGCACCGCTTTCAATCTGATAGGGACCGTGGCGTTTTCAACGTTTTAAGCTGCCAAGGTATGACGGATTCGCCATGAGGCGACTGGAAATAGCCGCCTCGGAAATTGTACAGCGCGAAGTGAGAACCCTATGGGGCTCACGCTTGTTCGTCCCGCGATACTCCTGGTTAAAATGCTCTTTTTTTTTTAGATTCGCACCATTCGCCATCAGGGCGTCATCGGGTTCAGTCTTCGAGTCGCTCTGTTGTTCGAAATCGATCGAATGGGTAAAAAAAAAGTTTCGTGCGGTCGCGTTGCGGCCATAGCTAGCCATTTGTCTGGAATCAACGGGGGGCTAAAAACTGTAAATAACTTTAGGAAAGTGAGCTATTTTTTCAGGGAAAACGTGGACCTGTCAGCTCAGATTCCATAAGACTGCGCACGCTGACCAGGCTGAAAAATATCGTACGTTTTTGAACGCGGAAAACATCAATGATTTTGTGAAAAATTTGGAAAAATTTGGTCTTGCATTTAGCTCCTCACGCGACCGCAAACGTCACAAAAAAAATCAGCAGAGTTAATTACGATTGAAAGTTGTCTACAAGAACAAATAACTCCAAGGCACACGTAACGGGACTGAACAAAATATGACTCTCGAGTCGAGATCGAAGCAATGAAAGGTAAGATTTCAAGGAGCATCGCCCAGTGGAGATCTTTGAAGGGCAAGGTCCTTCCGACATGGGATACGCTGGGCGCCTATTGGCATTTGTGTCTGTCTCTCGTTGCCTTGCTTCTCGGCCTACGCGTAATTAGCCGGCCGCGTACTACGTGTCTGAAACTCGTGAAAGGGATCGGAGAGACCCAGCAGATCAGGGATCATCTATAATTGGCCATGAGTCAACCGGAAATATTATGCAAAAAATGGGTATAGAGCGGGGCAAGGCAGGGAGCAGAGAAGATTTATGCTAATTTTAGAACTAAACCCCGGTTTATGCTAATTTGCCCTGTGCCTTCCTGATCCCTTTTAAAAATAAATTATTAAAATATTTTTTTTTTTTTTCCCTTTTTTTTTTTTTTTGGGGGGGATTCAAAAAGGGGGGGGGGTTTTGGGGGGGGGGGGGGTGTTTTTTGTGGGGGGGGGGTGGGGGGGGGGGGGGAAAAATTTTTTAAAAAAAAAGATTTTTTTTTTTTTTAAATTTTTGTTTTTTAAAAAATTTTTTTTTTTGGAAAAAAGAGGGGGGGGGGGGGGGGGGGGTTTTTTTTTTGGGGGGGTTTTAAAACCCTCTGGGGGGGGGGGGGGGGGTGGAAGGGGGTGGATTTTTTATTATTGGAAAGGGGGGGAAAAAGGGGGAAAAAAAAGGGGGGTTTTTAAAAATTTTTTTTTTTTTTGGTTTGTTAGTTTTTTTTTTAAAAAAAAAAGTTTTTTTTTAAAAAATTTAATTTATATTGGGGGGGGGGTTTGGGGAAAAAGATTTTTTTTTTTTTTTTTTGGGGGGAAAAAAAAAAAAAAAAAAAAAAAAAAAAAAGAAAATTAAATTTTTTTTTTTTTTTGGGTGTTTGTGGGGGTAGATATGAAGGGGGGGGGGGGGGGGCGGGGGGGGCGGGGGGGGGGGTTGGGGGTCCCGGGGGGAAAAGGGGGAAGGGGGGGGTTTGGTTTTTTTGTTTTTTTTTGTGATTGTAAAATTAGAAAAAAGGGGGGGGGAGGGGGGGGGGGGGGGAGGGGGGGGGGGGGGGGGGGGGGGGTTGCAAATTAAATGTATCATTTCGCCACCATATTTTGACAGTCTGTTAACTATATAAGACCACGATTTTCAGGTTCACCGTCCAGTGGGACAGCCAAGCTTGGAATGATGAAACCTGTCGGGTATTAGGTTGGAAATGTAAACCTTTTGAGCAACCAAATAACAGGCAAATCATCAGCCGTCGTCCACCTGAAACTGACCGCAATAGGCACGGCTTTCAATCTGATAGGGACCGTGGCGTTTTCAACGTTTTAAGCTGCCAAGGTATGACGGATTCGCCATGAGGCGACTGGAAATAGCCGCCTCGGAAATTGTACAGCGCAAAGTGAGAACCCTATGGGGCTCACGCTTGTTCGTCCCGCGATACTCCTGGTTAAAATGCTCTTTTTTTAGATTCATACCATTCGCCGCCAGGGCGTCATCGGGTTCGGTCTTCGAGTCGTGCTGCTGGCAACCCATGTTTACCAAGTCCCGCGATCGCCAATGGTCGACCACCATCCAATCCTTGCTTCAACAGTGGTGAGCCAAATAATATTTTCTGGTCAACTTTTGGCCGTCAAAGAAAAGAAATCTGGCTCTGAAGTTATGCTTTTGTCAAATTATCTAGGATTTTACAAATATTGTTTCAGTCTTTCATATCTCGCACTCTTTGAATATTCAGATACGAGGACAGAGCTCGTGTAACAAGGTGTAAAGTATGAGGAATCTAGAAAGGGGCGGCCCACCTATTCCCTCATCATCGTCCCTCTCAAAATGCGAAAAACCCTCAAGAAAAGCGCAAAGTCTCTTGCATAGGCAAATAGCAACTCGCGAATATTCCAATATATCCTCGACATTTAGATTCGTCACCGCTACCCGCGTCCCGTTTCCCCCGATATAAGGCCACGGCCCATCTGTTACCAGGAGGAAAGAAGAATGCCGCAACCCGACAAAAAAAAGAATAAAATTCTGAACCCGAATGCAAAGCACAAAACAATTTACTTCTTTTTTCAACTTTTGTGGGTACTTAGAAGCCTTCAATCGCTAGCTTTGATTGTTATCTGAATGATTAATCTTGGTCTCAGAAGGCGTATTTCCTGGAACAATCGCATTTGAAATGTTTTCGATCCAGAAGAGACGTGTCATGGGATTAAGGTGGGGTGGCTTGCGTTTATCGGAGCCGTTCGTGATAACGGTCCAGGGTAAAAACGGAGAGCAATGAGTAACGGGGGCAAGACTTTTGGTCCAAACAAGCCACTTGTTTTCGTACTCTGAATATTTGCTAAGGTTTAATTTACCCGGCAAAAATCCTTTTGATATTTTCGCCAGTTTTCGGGGGTTTAGAACGCCGTTCAATAAAGCGTCGAACCTTTTCCTTGATCTCCATAAATGAGTTCAACTCAATAATAATATTGCAGAGATGAACCTGACTCTTCTTGTAACGGGATTGGCTGTGACGAACAGAAGCTTTGCTACTGACGGCGACAATGGGCATTCACAGTGCTACAATAGCATGGCAGTCAACAGCTGGAAACTTTCTTCAAAGGTTGTCCAACCAATTTTATTCGAATTTCCCAGTTTTGCAGGCCGGGATAGTCGATTGTCCAAATACCGACAATGGGTACTGCTATAAATTTGCCGCTCCGGTGGGTTAGAGAATTTTGTGAAAACACGCGAAAACTTTAGAATTTTGCGCGCTGGACTTGCCCGTCTGATGATTTATGGACGGATGAGCATGGGTGTAAAGTAGCGTTCAGAATATAAAGTGAATTGGTTTACTATCATAATGTCGAAAATCAGAATGTCGAAATTTGGTTCTTTCGCATCATCGGAGGGTGACCGAAATTTTTTGTACAAATCCAGCAACGCTAAGTAATGTAAGCATTTTAATGGTGCGTTTAGTAAATTAATACTAGATGTAGACCAGAAAAACTATCTAAAACATTTCATAAAAAAATTTTGCCGAAATTTGGTTAAAAAATAGCCATGTTTGGTCCAAAAAGCACTATTTTTTTCTAGAATTTGGTGAAGTTTTCACCTTAGGAATAACAAATATTAGCTCAGAGACATTCCTGCTATCTACTATATATAAACCAGTGCAAAAGACCGCTTCGCGGCCCTTTTCCACTGGGCCCCGTCCAGGAACCCTGAATTTGAATGGCTTCTTTTTAGCCTGCGGCGCAAGAACCTGAGTCAGACCATTCTTTGGCCCGCGGCGCCAGAGCCAGTGTTGCGCTGGAATCCTTGAGCCTCCGGCGCTAGCTAATGCTTTTTCTCCCGGATTTAGCCTGCGGCGCGAGAGCGTGTTTCAGGGACCTTTTCTTTGGCCTGCGGCGCGAGATCCTGGGCCAAGAACCTTTGCTTGGGCCTGCGGCTCTTGAGCGAAGGCCAGGCCTAAATCGCGCACACGGAAAGCCTAGAAATATGTTTTGTTGCTGAATTACCAAAAAGCAAAAAGCAAAATTTTTCGCGGATCCGAACCCGCGACCCTCAACGCCTTAGCCCCGGCCTTGATCCACTACACCACAGGGGAGGTTGAAACCGGCAGCGATAAAGGCCTCTTCATATCCTGGGAGTCGAGTTGTGCTGTGCTAAAAGGAATGGGCCCCAGGATCTCCGACAGGCAGGCCTTCAGGCCACTTTACAAAATTCAACTTTTGAGGTGGAAGCTGGTCGAATCTTGTGAAAATACAGGGTGTCTCAGGATTATCCGGACAAAACGAAAAAGTCATTTTTTCGCCTTTAGCGCTGTTTTCTGCAAACTTAATGTTTTACATATAAGTTCTTGAGGCGTTTTCGATATTCGGAGCAAAAAAAATTTTTCGAAGACGCATTAATAGCTTCAGAATCAAGCGTTGAACGCGGTAACATTTTTCACCTCTGAAATACCACGAAACTTGGGGCAAAGATTCAAAAAGTGTTCCGACATTTTTCTGGGCAAGATATGACGTCTTCTGGCAAAACGGACGTGTTTGCGGCAAGGTTTGGTCATGTCAATGATTATTTTCTAATTTAATATCAATTTCCTTAGCATTGTTGATAAGGGTGTTTCGAAGCTTGCGCGTGCTCAAGCTCCTCAGAAACCAAAGTTAACTTGGCCTAAATTGCTTGTACATAATTTTTACTGTAGCTATTTATGTTTTTATGCGTTGAAAAATATCTTATCGGGTTTTTAGGGTCCCTCCGCACCAAATCTTGTAAGTTAAATATGGCGGCGCGTGCCTTTATTTCATCTTTTTGCTTGCTGATTTTTTTCCTAGGGTCAACCTAGCATTTTTGGGTCGGGGCGGAGCATGGACGTATCATATTCGACCTCTTCCTGTAATTTTTCGTTATTCCTGTTACATTAAAGCTTTTTATTGCGTCGGAAACAGAATATGTTGTGAGCGTTTGCCAGATGGCAGAAATTGGGTTCAAACTTCTTCGATTTTTTACAAAGCGATATGTTGGAATCTCCCGCAATTTTCTTTGCCAGCACCTCAAAAATGCCTCAAATATTAATAGGAGCTACACGGTGTGTGCATAAAACAAGAAAAATATTAGGAAAAAATGGCTTTGAAAGTTTGTCCGGATAATCCTGACAAGGAGACGTTTTTTTGGTGTGAATGGAGTTCTGAGTGGAAACCAGGCCTATTTTGTGCCGAATTTTGCGCTGATTCCGAATATGTTTTTCATTTCTGCTAAATAGCTCGATTTCAAAAGTTACAGCAATTTAAGATTATTTTAGCCCAAATTTTCCCCTCTTTAGGGACCATTATGTTGCTTTTCCCGGCTGTTTTTCCAAAAATAAATATCGTCACCGTATTCAAAACAATTTTCTCTATCGAATGAGCTATTTAACAAAAAATTGTTGAAAATCGAAAAAATCGACGACTGCGATTTTTGTATGGGAAATGGTGAAAAACAGCCTATTTCTCACCCCTGTAAGCCATCGTCGGTCAGCAGTAGCGCACTAATCAAATATACCATTCGAATCAGAAAAAAATTCTCTACAATATAGGCTACAAAAATAAATTAGAACATTATAACAAAAAAGTAGCACAGCATAGCATATGGCTACTCTGGGCCTAAAAATGATCTTAAAATTGCTGTAACTTTTGAAATCGAGCTATTTAGCAGAAATGGAAAACATATTCGGAATCAGCGCAAAATTCTGCACAAAATAGGCCTGGTTTCCACTCAGAACTCCATTCACACCAAAAAACGTCTCCTTGTGAGACACCCTGTAATAAGGTGCGCGTGATCCACGCCATTGAATGCATGAGTGGTCAAAAATACAGGTCCAAAATCGCCATGTGTATTGAGTTATGGCCTGGACACGACCGCCCGTGGCACGATTCATTAAGGACCTTGCAGAAAAATCCTTATAAAAACTTTATTTTCAAAAATTTTGCAAAATCCAAAAAAATGTATCTGGGGAATTTCTTTTCCCCATCAACCTTCCAAAAATCAGGCCTCAATTCCTCCATCCAAACCCATTTTGTTAAGGATTTTTCACATTTTTGCTTATAAAATTGTTAAATGAAGGTATTTCGTAAAAGAAAAAAATGCATCACTGACAAATGTGTTTCTCCACCTCCATGCCAAAAATCAGCTCGAAATTCGGCCTGACGGCCGAGAAATCGGCTGTACAGAAAACAGACATACTTTTCTCGCTTATGGGATAGGATTTTAATCGTGCGCCCGACCGACTGACCGGGAATTCAGCCAAATTTCGCATTCAAATTTCAAATTCAAATTGTGGGATGCGGGGGGGGGGAGACCAGCGCTGAAACCCCGCGTAGCGGGGGTCAGCGCTGGTTTATATTATAAAATGAGATGATTTGAACAAAAAAAAATGGTTTTTTTGGACATTGGATCTTGGACAATTTTGATATTCTGTTCTTCGAAATTTTGACGGTAACCCGCTAAAATATGGTATTTTGTAAGATAAATACTTTTAGTCGGAAGGCAGCTACGATTCTACGATGTCAGTTTTCAATGGGGAACCGCTTAAAGGGAAAGTATATTGCTGCAAGGGTAATTTGTGCAACACGACACCGGCTGGCCAAGGACTCTTTGCCATATCTCTCTTTTTGTCTGGATTTCTGCTGATGTTCCGGCAATAAATAATTTTGTGTCTTGTTCCACATACTATGCTAGTAAATCGATTAAAATGTCTGTGAAGTGGAATGAAGCCGCCGAAGCCATCAATGTCGGCCTCGGGGGCTCCCCCCCCCTTGGCCGGGGCCCGAAAAGTTCACAAGGGCGGACCTTATGATTTTGATTTTCCCAGGCATTTTTCGGCCTGCGGTGCTGTTTATTGCGGTTTTTAAGACTATTTTTAATGCTATGGAACCTGTTTTTCCAGAATTTTCCGCCAACGGCGCTATTTTTTCGTTAACGTATCAATTTGGTTACAATAATTTTAACAAACGCTGAAACGGCGCTGCAGGAAAACGGTCATGCGTCATCGAACCATAAGTCATCATGTTGCTTCCCCAAAATAGCGGGGGAGGGGGGCCTTATCATTCGATGCCATTTCTTGACGCACAATTCCGTCAAATTACGGAATTCCGGCGTCGGCTACCGGATAAAACAATGACTATTTCGGTTTTCTCGACGTCATTGCGGCAATCAGCAATGTTGATAAATGATTTATAGTGGTAAACCGATGAGAATTGAAATTTTTTTACTCATCTATCGAGTCTATTACGGGAGATTTCTGCTAAAACCCAGCGATCGTCTTGGATTAGCCGTCGGCCAATGCAATTTCTCTCTTGTCTATGCCTCGGGAAACGACGGTCATCAACCTCTTCAATTGACGAGGCGAGGATTTATTTTTATGAAGGCTACAAAATGCGGTGCTTAAAAAGACATTTCTACGCTTTTCAGGCAAGGGTCCCAATCGATTTCGTCAGCCTACCCATCGTGGTCCACCGACGAATTCTCGAATTTATGGGCACGACTCATCCGAAAACGC